AATAGAAATGAACTAAGCCTGTCTCCCTTCTTAAACACACAAAAATTTTGCACAAAACAACCCTCTTAAATACATAGGCAATCTCAAAGGGAGGGGCAAGCAGAGCCAGAGAGATAGCTTGCTTAGTAAGTGCAGAGCTTTCTTTGTAAAGATGTGGACCAGTGTTCAATCCCCAGAACCTATGTGAAAAGCTGGGTATGGGGGTGCCCACCCGGAACCCAGGACTAGTGACTAGCAAGGAGAGGAAGGCAGATCTCTGACAGGTGCTGGCCAGTGAGCTGGGCCAATGAGAGGCCAAGTTTCCAACAGTGAGGTAAATGGAACCTGGGAAACAACAACTGAGGTTCTCTGTCCTCCACACTTGCACAGAGCGCTGAGGAGGAGGCGGTGCAGACATCTGCTTTAGAGGTGCACATTAGAACACATACACACACACACACACACATACGCACATGCCACACACATACACAAAGACATTCCTTCCATGTGCTAGAGACCCATGCACAAATCTAGTACTCTGCTACCAAGAGCAATAAAACTCAGCGACTCTTTGACTAGCCTGTAGACATGGCAAGGAAACAGAAAGGAATAAGGAACACAAGCCTGGACCACATCAAGTGGAGTCCAGATTTAAACTACACGAGTCCTACCAATAGCGCCAGGGCTGAGAAAATGGTGGTAAAAACTGGTCCAGAAGAGTGAAGCGCTTACACTCAAGGCAGTTTTCAGTGCCACAACTTCCCAGAGCATGGCTTCCACGAGCCAGTGCCCACACAGTTTCACACAGCAGACAGAGAATGCCAAAGCAATGCGTGCTAAGTGTGCTCCTGGCATCCTAAACCTGAACTCGAAAATCTGAAAGGAGCTGTAAGAGAAGCAAGCTGAAATGTCTGGTGGCATAATACCCGTAAGAGAATAAATGCCTTATGGGAAGTCACAGGTGTTTCTGAAAGAGCTAAGTAGAACATCTTCACTCCTTGATGTGGCAAACACGGCCACTGAGATTCAAGCCCGAGACCCAAGCAATATGGAGTGGACTCCATATGAGTAACAACAGAACATCGTCACTCCCTGCTGTGACAAATGCCACCACCAAAACTCAAGACCTAAACAGAAGCAGCACAGAATGGACTTCATATGAGTAATAAGAAAAATTAAAGAAAAAGAGGTCATGAATGTGACAGGGAGTTGAGGTACACAGAAGGAGCTAGAGGGGGGAAGGGAAGGCTGGAAAAGATAGAACTACATTACTTATGCATGAATTGTCAAAAATAATAATAGACTACAGATATTAAACTGTGGGTTCAATAGACAAGGAAAAAATATTTATTTGGAAAATAGATGAGAAAAAAATCACCCAGTGTGAAGATACTAAGAAAACTGTGAGAATGAAAGAGAAGGTACTCTAGAAGAGGCAGTGAGAAAAGCCAGCATCCCACTAACAGGTCAGTGATGGCACAGGAATAAGGAAGCTGCTGGAAGAGCGGGAAGGACACTTCAGAATTTAACAAATGCCTACATGTCAGAAACAGCACTGTGCCCCCAACAGAAAAAAACAAACCAGTCTGTCCCAAGGCACATCACAGTGCACGTGCAGGCAGAAGATTAAAAGAAAAACAAAGAAAATTCAAGTTAGCTATGAGACAGTTACAGACTATATGGAGTTTTCCGAAAGCCATGCAGAAAGCCCAGGCTTCATGGAGAAAAATTACCCGTCAAGCTTTACAAAGCATCCCCCAAGCAGGCAGGTTTTGACACTTTGAGACAGGTTGAGACTAAGAACTTCAGCTAAAAGAAGCGCTAAGACATGCTCTTTAATGAGTACAAAATTAAATGCAGACATGAGACCTGGTGGGCAAGAAGCGGAAGAAGGTCCCTGCTACACCCAGAAACGCCGGTGGGCTAGATGGGAGCCCCTCGGTGGAGGGGCCTGCCTGGCAGGTGTAAGGACCTGGGTTCCGTCCTCGGCACCACAGAAAGGGGGTGAGGCCTATTAATGAACACACTGGTGCATCTAAAATAAAAAAGAAATGTGAAAGGGGCAAAATAGTTGACGGTGATTTGAAAACGTGATGGATCATAAGTCCTGCAGAGTGCTAACTTGGAGAATGGGAGGCAGTAGCAGAGGAAGGATGCAGTGTTTGAGGATTTCCTGTTTCTCAGGGGAAACCTTCTAATTAACTTCAGGCTCTTACTATGCAAGTTCTTCATTCAGAAATAACCATTAGATGTGTAAAGAAGAGAATGTCCGTTTTCTGAATGCAGAGGAGAGACAAGGAGTGGGGTTTAGAAAGCTGGACCAATCAGTTAAAGGAAGGAAATTAGAAAAGGGCGCAAAGCAGGAACAAGAGGAGAGCGGAAAGTTTGAATGGTGGGGAAATCCAAGCATGTGCAGTCATCATAATAAATGAATTATTAAACAGATTAAACCCAAGCTATTAAGATGGCAAATATCTGGGATTGGATAATAGCAAAACTTGGAGGCTCTCAGAATTTTTTTTAATTTGGCTTTTTCCTGATTGGATACATGTGGCAAATTTTAAGCCAAAGAAATGAAACAAAGCTGGAGAGAAGACACCAGGCAAGTTCTAACGAGAAAGAGAGGGAACGGAGTGGGGGTTGGGGGAAGACAGCGTGAAAACAAAGCAGACAAGATAAAGAAAAAATTAAGAATAAAAGGCTGTGGAAGCTCGGCATCTGGGCGTGTGCCTGCTACTCCACTTACGGGCCACAGGAGGCTTTGTTTCTTAAGTGGGTTGGGGGCGGCTGGGAATGCAGCTCAGCTGGCGGAACGCTTGCCTCCTCTCACGGGCGCCTTGATGTGGCGGTGACTGCCTAAGATCCTACAGACGGGAGGGTCACAGCTTCAAGCCCCTCTTCAGCCTCCCAACAGGTCAGAGGCCAGTCTGAGCTGCATGAAACCTGACTAATAATAACGCTTGTTACTATGTGAAAGTGTTACTTAATGATAGAACAATTGTAACTACAGCAGCATGAGTCAAAATGTGAAGAGACAAGTCACCAAAGATGGTCAGGAGACACTTGGGAAAACATGTTGAGCTATTGGTGATGCCATAATGGAACTAAAAGCAACTATGAGTTACCCTTGAACGTGTGCTCATCAGATGGCAAAATAATTGGTACTGTGTGGCACGAAAGGGCTCTCCTGTGCCCTGCTGGCAGACAGGGGTACTAACGACAGATGGGCAGCTCTGCACCAACCTCTCATAGAAGCATACACGGGTGCTCCCTGTGTGACCCTCATAACAGCAGTAGAAAGCTAGGAATCCATGTGACCCCTCCACACCCACCCTTGAAAACTGGTTTTGTAAACCATCTGGGGGCTGGAGAGACTCCACAGTAGTTGAGAACATGCCTTGCTCGTGAAGAACACCTGAGTTTAGTTTCCCAGCATCCCCCTCGGGCAGCTCACACCGGCCTGTAACTCTGCGTTCAAGAGACCTGCCACCCTCTGGCGTCCAGCAGCACTGCATTCAAGCGCACACTCACACGCACACGCACGTGCTCTCACAAGCGCACACACATTTTTACAAAATTGTTATATGTTGCGATATTACTCACAAGGCTTGAGGCAGCCTGAGTGACTTCGCTTAGAGTTCCTGGGACTGAAATGGATGCCTCTCAGGTTTACGTGTGGGGTGGAAGTTAGTTACTGACTGCCTCTGCATGGCAATACAAGAGTGTGTTGTTTTACACACACACACAGCATACACCTGAGAACAAATGGCAACCCTTCAAGCTGGTGGTTCCTCTCTTGGATGAGAAAGAGAGAGTCAGATCCATCGGAAGAGATTAAGCCTCAACTGGGCCGTGATGAAGCTGTTTAAAAATCGGAAGCAAGCATAACAGAGGTATTAGCATTCGCTACGTGCTTGACTCTGGGTGATGGATCCACAGCTTCTACTCTGTGTGTGTGCATGTGTGTGTGTGTGTGTGTGTGTGTGTGCGTGTGCGTGTGCGTGTATGTGTTAGATACTGTCTTAAAGTAGCTTCTAGCTTGTGACAGAAGGAAGATGATGTTAATATCTAGAGCAAAGTATGGCACATTTTCCTGTGGGATCTGGGGCTCACCTCTTGGAAGAAGCTTGGCACCTCCACAGAGCTCAGGGCATCGTGGGAGGGGCTGTGGGGCAGATACTCGCCTGGAGAGAGGCACGAGCCTTGTACCCCTCCCGTCCTTTTGGCTTGGCAAGTCCTTTCCGGTTTCCCCATCATCTCTCACTATGTTTGCAAAGCCTCCCAACAGGCAGTTTTTCAAAAAGCACCTAAAAACAATGTGATACCTTCTTTAGCTCTCAAGAGAGGAGAAAAGAAAGACTTCATTTGTGGCATGAATTTTTACGGAAACGTTTGGGTGGTGGAGCAAGGGGATGGGTTGGCTGTGTGGATGGAAACATTTCTGCATATGGTGACAAGCTGCCATGTTGCTGTCTTCCCTGACTAGAGCCAATTCTACTTGGGTTCTCACCCTTCTAAATGGTCTCTAATTGCCTGTGTCAACTGTGTTGATGAAATCTGTACCAGACATACTCCGTGATCTCTTTAAAGAAGGCCGTGTAGAAATAGGCACAGTTATGCCCACCTTCTGTTCACAGCAGCTAACCCAGGCCTTTCCAAACTCTCAGTCTGTCACGCCTACAGGCCTGGGGCTTCGTCCCATGTCACCACAGCTGCTGTGCTGTGTGGACGCCCTCATCACAGCATGGCCATCCACTCAAAGCACCCTTAATGTGGAAGGACACCATGGTGCCCTGTCTTAGCAGCATCTCTCCCGTGTCCTCACGGGGAGCCAGCAGGGCTTTAGAAACAATGGACTTGGAGTCACACAGAAAGGCATCTGACTTGTCTTTAAAATGCATATGTGCTTCATGTTGAAGCCACAGGGGGAACTGGCTCAGGGCTCTTGTGACGCTGCCTGGGCCACTAGCCTACACATGGTGGCGACCCGTCTTCTCAGTGCAGCTGCCTTTCCCTTGCAGAGAGAAGATGCATCAGTCTGCCATGTATGAGCTGTGCCAGGGGATGCGCCAGGTCAGCCTTCAGTTCGTGCGCCTGCAGCTGACCTTCGAGGAGTACTCCATCATGAAGGTGCTGCTGCTACTAAGCACAGGTATGCTGATGTCCACCCTGGTGCTCTTTCTCTGTTGTCGGATCATCTTCCCCACAGGAGAGTGGCCATCCGTGATGCTCAGGTAGTGGGTACCAAACCCTGACGAGCAATGTGGGAGCGATTAACTAACTTACTTACTGATGACAAAACTGTGGCTATATTAAACAATATAAGTGCCTGTACTCACCCAACCATTAGCATTTAAGTGTCTCACTCGGTCTTTGCCTGTGGAGAGCCTATCCTGTAAGATAACTTGAAACGCTGGGAGACATGGTGATCTACCAAGGTTAGAGGTGAGGAGGCGTGATGGTGGCTCAGAGAGTGAAGGACACCAGCTCTATAGGTGAGGGGACGGCACATAACCCAGTTGGCTCACAGGGGCTTTGTGAGGGTTCTAGATAGGCTATGAGGCGTGCACTGTCTCTTTTTGCCGTTCTTACTGGCAGTGTGCGTGGACATGTGTGGGCTGGGGGTGAGGGGAGCTTAAGTAGGTGTTTGGTTATTATTAATAATTTTAGATATTTTGTGCATGCATTCAGTAGTTTTTCCTGATTGTGTTGCACTAAGGTAGAGTGGAATAAAGTAGGGATGTTGACTGGATCAGATTATCAGCGCCCAAAGGAAAAATTCTAAATCTCATCAGGTAGACAGACAGCTACAATACCGGGCACTTCTGAGCAGGGGAGGCGCAGTCAGGGCTGTGTTCCGTGGCTCTGAAAACTTACCAGCAGGCAGCTGACGGGAAGGATGGAGGAGCAGCAGGCAGATAGATGGCGGTCCTTACAAGCACTGAGGCCCGTGAGACAAAGGTGACTGGCCATATGATGGGCAGAACCAGACTGTCAGTTGAGGACCATGGCAGAGTGGTCTTGGTAACTGTCCAGACAGAAGAGGAATGTGGATCAGGACAAGGCAGATGTAACGGAGTCAGGAAGAAGCGAGGAGACAGTGACTCACACAGGAGATGCCCTGTACACCAGATTGCCATAAGGTGGGTCAGGCTTTCAGAGGATTTTGTGCAGTAGAAAATGAATTCTGTTTTTGATTGGTTAGTTTTTATACCAACTCTGTTTTCTACTGAAGTTGACCAGAAGATGGGGAAACTTTAAGACTGAAAATCAATAGTCAGGTTTGAAACATAAATCTTATTTATTATTATTCATAGTTGAAACTCAAATGACAAATAGAATTGCTGTGTATGTTAGGATTTTTTTATAACTGAATGTTATTAGAACAAAACTATAGGTCTTTAAGCCTAAAATTTAACATAAACAATTATTGCAAATTAGAGACATAGTCCTTGTCCACATTTGATATTAACTTTATTGTTATTCAATAACATAATTTTCATTAAAATGTAATTACTTTATGTCCTCCCCTCCCCTCCCTCCAACACCTACCATGTCTCTATTCTTCACCAGTCTCTCTCAAGCTGACGGCCTCCTTTCATTTAGTTATCATTGTTACAGATACAAAAATCTATAAATACAACCTGGTGAGTCGGTTTTTGTTCTTTGTGTGTACATGGTTTGGTGGCTGGCCGCTTGATATTGGATGATCAATCAGGGGCTCATGCCTGAAAGAGGCTGCTTCTGCGTCCTTCCGGGATCGTCAGCCACGTGGCTCCTTGTCTAGGTGTGGGGCCCTGAGATCTCTCCCCTTCTGCATTAGCATGTTATCTATTGATACTGTCTTTGTTTTGGGGCAGCCATCCCTGAACCCCACAGTCTCATAGTAGACCACCTGGTCCTCTCTAAGTGTCTGACAGACACAACTTGAGGACTTGGCTTTGGCTCACTGTGTCAAAGCATCCCAGTCCACAGGTGTTGACCCCACATGTTCTGGGTGATGACAGCCTATGACAGAGGAGTGTCTTTATAGCATACAGAAAACAGAGGGGACAACTCCCGCTGACCGACTTCCTCTAGGTAGGCCCACCTCCTAAAGTTTTCAGGAAGCCCCAAAAGAGCACCACCAGAGAGGGAATGTGAGGGACACATTCAAGTCATGGGCTACCACCTGAATTAAGAACAAGGAGCCAATGGGTCCTTGTTAAAGGCACAGCAGTGGCAGAAGGAAAGGAGGTGGAGTATGAGAGAGGTCAGGAGCTGAGTATGCGTAGGGGGTCCCAAGACAGATATGACTAGTCAGGTGGCTTGAACAGAGAAAGTTGAGAAACTGAGAGGAGATAATTGGAGTTGACCGATGGGAAGGTTTCATGGGCTTCTATGATCAAGTTTGAGAAGAAAAAAAACTGATGAAATTAGGTACCCCAGGAGACAGGAGAAAGGGGCAGTAACCTTGGGGAAAGTGTTGGGTGTTTGTTTCTCAAACAACCATGCAAGAATTTTCAAATAGAGAAGAAAGAATTTGAAGAGGCTCAGCAGGACTAAAGAGACCAGGGATGATGACTGGAGACAATATAGAGAAGAAAACTCTGAGCCCAGGATGGCAGCCTCTGAGGAATCCAAGAGAGGGTCTAGGTATCAAGAGCCAGCAAGGGTGTCATGGTGAGTAGCATGGAATAAAGAGGACAGGCTGGTGTGAGTGAAGAGGAAGGTGCGTGGTCCACACCCAGCCTCATTTACGCTCTGCTCTATAAAGGACTGTGGAAGAAAGTGCATGTTTCTAAGGAAGGGGACGAGGAGAACTGGCTGGCTCAGGGTTGAGCAGACAGGCAGGTAGAGTTCAGCTGACTCTGAGGAGTTAGTCTCAACTGGTACAGCAGGGCAGAGAGGCTGTGGGTGGCAGCCTGGCCTCATGAGTGCAGAGCCTCACAGTTGAGTGTATCTTCTGGACACTGTCTAATCGAACACTCAAAGCACCCCATTGTGAGATTGAGAGCCCCATTGGACAGTGGACCAAAGGGAAGCCCCTGTGTGGTGTTTGTCAGTGCCCTGCAGGAGTGAGGACTGGGACTCCGGGCTTCAGTTTCCTGCTTTCCTGGGGACCCGCTCGTGGCTGCTGCCAAGGTGCTTAGCCGCAGCAGGCAGCCATGGAGGACGGGGCAGGATGGTGGGCTCCCGAGTGCAGGGCAAACCTGGCAGGAAGGGCTACTTCACAGCTGTGTGTGTTTGGAAGCTGCTCTTGGCCTCTTGCTTCATTTTCAGTGACGCTGATGCCCAGGGTAGGGTGCAGGCCTCCCAGGCTACTGCAGGCCATTCCTCACTAACTGCACCCAGCCCATCTCCTGTGCAGGCTGAGTCAGAAGAAACATTGCCCAGAGCATGACTTTGCCAAAAAAAAAAAAAAAAAAATTAGTAGAAGTGATTTTAGTCCACCATGAAATCATGCCACTCACTCTCCTTGTTTAGAAAACTGTTTTCTTAAAGCAGCAGACAGAAAGTGACTTTAAGTGAAATGCTTCTGTTAATGCCTGTTTCTAATTCTTCACAAATTTGACTACTTGTACTTAGCTTATACCTTATCCTGTTAACATCCATTTACCCTTTCCACCTCTAACAGCTTCTGACGTCATTTTTGAAACTACCTGAACTAATTTATTAGCTTCCAACTTAGTTAGCACTTTCAGTTCTGAAAAAGGTATAATTAAAAGGCAAGAACGCCTAAGGAGTTCAGGATCACGGAAGCGGCAGGCCTTGGACGGCTTGCTTTGCTGGCCTGTGATGGATGAGGCGTGTTGCATTCCATGATGGCCAGCCGGCCTCTCACGGAATCTAGCCGTGATAGCCCAAGAATCCCACACTCTTGGCTTGGAGAGGAAAGTAGACTGACTTCAGCCTTATGGCTCTCTACTCCTCTCCAGCGTGTAGGCTCTGGAACTGTTCCAACAGGCCTGCGGCACTTAATAAGTAAATTCAGAATTTCTGGGCAGACAGCCAAAATTTAAGGTTTCGCTTAACTTGCCTTTATTTGTTGATTTGTTCCAGCTTCTAAAAAAAAAAAAAAAAATCTCTGGCTGAGAAATTGAGATGATCTACCTCAGTATATTGTATTTACAGCAGTAAAATGTGTTAATATTTGACACAGATGATATAATCTTGGTTCTTTGATAATGCATCTATCAGAATATAGTGGTCTTTAGCTAATGTAGTTGATGGAGCAAATAGTATCACCATAGTGGATGACACACTGGTTTTGAGCAGTAGATGATATTTTTCATGTAGAGGTAGAACCATCATAGAAGTATTCATTGAAAAAGGCTTCCTTTGAAAGGCTTTGGCACTTTAAAAACCTGCTGATCTGAGGCCGGGCAGCAAGGATGGTCTTGGCAAGTGCCCAGCCTCCTCTGGGAACCCTCACGTTTATGTTAGCGGACTGGAAGTTAGCGGATCTAGCTTCACTGTTAATGTGCCAGTTACTGCCATCTTTATTTTTAAACTTTTGAAAAGAAACTATTTCTTGGGGACTGAAAAAAAAAAAAAAACAGTTCAGCAGTTAAGGCCTTTATTCTTGCAAAGGACCCAGGTTTGGTCTCCAGCGGCCATACACTGGTTCACAACCGTTGGAAGTGCTGCTTCTGTGTATATGATGCCTCCTTTTGACATCTGTGGGACCTGGCACACACACGGTACACACATACATACATGCAGGCAATAACACTCAGAAAGTGATTTCTTATGTAATGGGTGGCAATTAACTCTTAAGATTAAAGTCACATATTTGAAGTCACAACTGCTATTGGCAAGCCTTGTGTGTAGTGACTCTTGGAGATTTATTCTATCAAAGCAGAGCTAAGGAAACAGCAAGTCAGAAGCCTCAGCAACTAAACTCCTGGAGATTGTTAGCATTCTAATGAAGGTTATTTGTGAAAACAAGGCTGATTTGGAGACAGTGGAATGCCTGGCTTCCCCGGCTACGGAAGCTGTGCAGGGACACTCTTGCAGCCCCTCGAAAGTGCTAACGACCCAAGAAATCACCATTTATGCCGGCAACAAAAAATTAGTAAATGGGAGGTTAATCAAGAAAAACATAAGAGCAGTTTGGAAGTCACAAGATGGATTTCCAGGTTCCAGGTGATTGTACTGCTCACAGTTTTAAGGCCTGCATGTCCCCACCATCCTGGAAAAGAAGCAGGAGCTGATTTTCAAGGTGCCATCTTTCACTGCAATGCTTCAGATGCCGCCTTTCATCCTGGCAGGTGGCTCCTTGCAACAGAGCGGGGAGGCGGCCTGGGAGCACATGGGTGCTCCGGGCTGTGAAGGACTTCCTAGTGGGTGGGTGTGGCTAGGGAACCCAGGGCTCTGCGCCTGCCAGACAAGTGCTCTGCCGCCCGATGCACACTCAGTTCCCACGATACTCTTTTAAGTGAACTTTTTTTTTCCAATGTAAAGCCTCCCCACTAAAGAAAACGCAAGGAGAAACGTGATCCTTCCTTTCTACTTTGTCAGAGTTAAAGTGAGCATTAGTTCTCACTGGTGTGCAGAACAGTGGTGGTGTTAGCCCTGCAGACAGGCAACCCAATACACATCTCAGTGATGACGCCCCAGGGTGAGGCGATCCTGGGCAGTCGTGGAAACCGCTTGCTCAGCGTTGTCCATGTGGTGCGTGGCCAGTTCCTCGTGGTGTCTGCAACTGAATCTGGATATGTCACTGCTTCTTTCCATGACAAGCCCCAGCTTGGACTGTCCCACAATACTGAAATTTGTTTTCCTGCCTCCAAGGTGTTGGGAGGCTAGGATTCAGAAGACACTCTAAAGACAGGCCACAAGCCATGCGGGCACAGTGTTCAGGAGGTCGACACTGAAAATGGGTTTGAGCTGCCATGTACTTATTTTACACTCCTCAGTAATGAATCCATGTACAGTCCAATTTCCTCATCTATAAAGTAAGGGTGATAGAGAGCTGTGTGATAATATTGTGTTAGCGCAGCGGGGCTAATATATGTAAAGTAATAATGCACGTCCAATAGATAAGTTATTCTTTTGCGTGTGAGTAAGTGTTTACCAAGTATATAGCTGCCATATTTATTCATAATTACAATTAACTAAGACTTACTCCCGCCTTGTAATCAGTATGTGAGGTTAAAATATTTGAGGCTATGCAACTGCAAAGATGTTCAAGCTGTGTTTTCCACACACGGAATTTATGTTTGTATTCCTTACCACAGTTCCAAAAGATGGCCTCAAGAGCCAGGCTGCATTTGAAGAGATGAGGACAAATTACATCAAAGAGCTGAGGAAAATGGTCACCAAGTGTCCCAACAATTCCGGACAGAGCTGGCAGAGATTCTACCAACTGACCAAGCTTCTAGACTCCATGCATGATGTAAGTAGAGACCCTGCTCTCCACAAAGTTAGAGTTCAGTAACTTTGCACACTTGTGCACACACTCATGCAAGCACACATGCGCACACACAATTTGACCCAACGAAACCAGGCAACTGTACTCAAATGGCTGTGGGAAGAATGGGGTGAAGCATCCAGAGGGAGGCTGCAAGAGTTAAAATCCAGTTAAGGTGACCTTTCTTTTTCTAACCTTGGGAGAGAGCCTGTGTACAGAGAGGGTATGGCTCTGTGCCCTGGACCACAGAAAGCCCTCAGATTTGCTACAGGTGTCAGATAGAGTTTCACATTTTTGTTTGCAATTTAGGAAATGTTTGGTTCATAAAAATGTTTGCTTTAACATTGCATAAATAGTGTCCATCTTCCACAACTGTTAATCTAACAACTCAATCTTTCAAAAACATTATTAGTGGTCCAGGGCCAGCTTGGATCATCTCAGTCTTTGCCAGACTTTGAATCCTATATTCATTGTTCTTCATAGGAGGTATCTCTCTTGTTCTGGGTAAATACAAAAAGTAGATTCTGGACTTCTTTCTAGTTTCATCAATCAAAGATCTAGCTGAAGTGTTGGTTAGGAGTTTCTACAAAACAAGCACTCAGATAACTCACTCTGTTTCTTGTGTCACATTGCAAGCAGATTTTCCCATCTCTTGCTCAAAGAATGTTGTTTGTATGCAGTCCTGCTTAAAAGGTTCTTCATGTTTGAGAAGGTTTCCACACCTTCTTTTGGAGAATTCGTTGTCCAGGTTTGGCTTGTTTGGTTTGAATGATAAATTACTCTCCTTTGGGAAGGAAAATGTTGACAGACTCAGAAGCTGAGATTAGAGTAATATTCCTGCAGAAGAAGTTGCTTCATGTTCCTGTGGTTTTCCCTCCTCTGTGCTGATGGTCCAGGAGCACGGATTGATAGAAGGCCACTTTGCATTGCTTTGTGTTGAGGCCTCTGCTTTCTCTGAACTTTTCTAATAACAAAAGGCAAGTTTCCCTTCAGATGAGCCAGAGGCGAATGGACTTGCCATTACAGCATGTTTGGTTAGAAACATTTTAGAAATGGGAGATGGTGGTTGGCAAGGCTCATGACTCACCCTGAAGAAAATACAGGGGGTGGAGAAAATCTTCCCCGGGTGGAGTGCTTCTGCAGCATGTTCCCTGCAGGAGGTCAGATATACCTTCCCCACCGATCTCACGGAAATCTCTCCTTAGTGAAGATGCCAGTGGGATCTTATAGTTCATTCTCGGTGAACTCTGATTTTTGTACATAGAACTATCAAATTTAGTATGTGGGCCTCGGGAGATGAGTCAGTAAGTAGAGTGCTTTCTGAGCAAGCATGAAAAACTGAGTTCAAATCCCCTGTGCCCACCTAAAAGCCAGGCATGGCCATACTCATAGACAGGAAGCTTATTGCCTCTTGCTTGCTGCCAGCCCAGCTCTAAGTTCACAAAAGATCCTGCTTCAAGGGAGTAATCCAGAGAGTGTTAGAGTAGGGTAGCCAACGTCCTTCCCTGTCCTCCACGGTAGCTGGGATACCTGTGTCATCCAGGCTGATTTTCTGTGAAATTTCTCAATATCAATTAGCATCTTGGGGTTCTATTATTTAGATATAGTTGACATACAATAAGCAGCACAAATTAGAAAAATGTGCTTTAAGCATTGAAATAGCCGTGCATCCATGGCCCTACCACAGCGACCAAGCTACCGCCCGTAATCCAACTGCAAAGCTTCCCTGTCGCCGTCTGAGTGATGGGGTCTTCCTGCTCTCTCATGGCTTTCCTCTAGCCCTTCCTGTTTGTAGGCATTTAGCTTCAGTTTTATAGAGTTGCATAGAAGCCTCCTTCAAGCAGACATGACTGTGCCAAGGTTCTTCCATGTTGCTCATGTGTTCAGAAGCTCTCGCTGCATGCTCTTTCTGGGCGAATATTCATGGAGTTTCTGGGTGAATATTCTACCATTCATTCATGTAGTCCACCTGTTGATGGGCACAGGATGTGTTTCTAGCTTGGAGTATTCCGTGTAAATCCTGAACAATTCTGCTCCAGTGAAAACACAGGCTCTTTCTCTTTCTGTGTGTGGAATATCAGGCAGTGGCATTTCTGGTGGATGCTGCATATATTTTTGTTTTTTATGAGAAACGCCAGAATATCTTCTGAAATGATAGAGTTTTACATCCCCATGAGAGGTACCTGAGAGTGCAGAATGTCTGGCATGGCTAATCATTTTTAGTTGGGGTATTCTGTTTGCTGCATGTTGGGAGTCCTATGGTTTTTAATTTGCATTTTCCTAATGATTGATGGGGTTAAACATCTTTTTGTACACTCATTTGGTGATTTATCTATTCTAATCTTTTGCCCTGTTTTCCTTTAAATTTTATTGCTTATTAGTTGTTATGTTTTAAAAAGCTTTTAAATAGAGTAGCTGCACACATCATTATTATTAGATATGTGATTTTTAATTGTTTTTTTTCCTGGTTGGTGGTTCTTCATTATATTCCCTGGGGGGCGGGGAACTTTTTTTTTTTTTAAGAAGTTTTGTGTGAATATGCACTTGCTGCGGAGTGTATGCTCTTGTTGTGGAGTGTGTGCAGAGGTCAGAGGGCACCTCCACGCTGGTTCTCATCTGCTGCTTGCTGGAGAGCAAGGGCTTTTGTTCTCTAGCGTGGCATGCCAGGTGAGTGAGCCGGGGAGCTTTCAGAGATCGCCCTGTCTCTGCTCTCATCTCCCTGGAGGAAGACTTGGGTTTCAGACTTCACAGGAAGTACTCCCGGAAATCCAAGCTTCCGTCCTCACATCTGCACAAGCTCCTTTACCCTCTAGCTAGCTTCCCAGCCCACGAGTTTTTCCGCTTAGCCAGTCCTCTAGCTTCTGTTACTATAGCAGGTGCTTGAGATCATCAGCTTGTGAAAAGAAAGCAGTTACTTCAGCCCGCCGTTTCAGGGGGCTTCCATCCTTGACTTGTTGCACCGGGGCCAGCAGCATGGCAGCGTATCATGACAGGGGGTGTGATCAGAGAAAACCGCTCAATTTTGGGGTAGCAAGGGAACAAAGAGAGAAAGGTACATGCACGCCTCCAGGGAGCTAAAGACTTTCCACTACTCTCTGCATGTCTCGCCAGCACAGAGAGCCTGCCACATGTACACCGGCAGGTGACATTTCCCGAAGAGGAGTTCGGGGATTATTGCTGACTTTACCAGTCACATTTTCAGTGCTGTGTCAGAAAGTCCTCTGGTTAGCTAAGGCCACAGGCCTTCCTCCTCTTTCTTCCACAGCCCTATCCTTCCCTGTGCCTGCTGTCACAGAAACCACTCTTCCATGTTTTGTTTTGGGTTTTCTTGAGTATTTCTGGTTCCTGCAAACAGAATGGTGAATTAAAATCACCTTTCTCTACCTTGATGGAAGGGAAACGTATTTCTTGGAATTATTTTTATCCAGTAAACCTTTATTTTATGATACCAAAAATGTTTTCTCTTAATGGTGGTCTGAAAGAACTGTCCCGAGTACTCTCTTTATATTCTAGTTCAGGACAGAACACTGGGCAGTGGGTGGTAATTCTAGAGGGGCCTTTCTAACATTCATGCTTACTAGGCCTAGAGAATGCCCACAGTGCTTTCGTTTGAGTAAATCCTTGAATCAACATTGCGGTGTTTTCCTCAAAGGAACAACTTGCTACACAGAATACGAGCTCTGTCCTTCCAGCCTAGTTCTGGTTGCTTAATGGAAAAGAGAGCATTTGTTCTTGATCCTCAGACAAGTAAGATCCATTTAAATATACATGGCAACTGTGCTTCCAAAGCTCAGATTCTGTGCTGGCTCCCAAGGCATAAATCCAGAGCCCCTGGGACATATGTCCACAGATCTCCAGACACACACATGTCAACAGGTCCTGGGACACATGTCCACAGCTCCCAGAACACGTGGATTTCTTCCACATGGTGCGCATATGTGTGGCACAGAACTGTGCCAAGGTAGGTGAAAGAAACATTCTCCCAAAACACGCAGTGACAGCTGAATGTTTAGTCCACAGCTTTTATGAATCAAAACCCCTCTGAGCATCAATCTTTTCCCCAAAACAATGTTTCAAGGAGCAGAGCTGTGCAAAGACTGCAGGAAGTAGGGGTGTGTTCTGCATTGCTGATGTTTCGGTGTTTGCATGTAAAAACTAGATAGATCCTTCCTTCTAGCAGAGAGAATTGAGAATCATTTTTAAGCTATTACTAAGAGGTATAAGACATTTCCCATGATATAAGAAGCACATGTCTAGTAAATTTATTGCTCACTTCTATGCTTTCTCGGAAGTTATAGTATAGTTATGGTATAGTCTGTGCTATTTAGTAAATCAAAAAGATTAAGAGTAACATCCCTTGAGGCGAAAATGCCCTTTTCTATTACATATTTTCAGAGTTACAGTTTTCTTTTTTGTGCACACACTTCACAAGAAGGTACCCACACCTGGTAATAGAAACAGTGCCAGGAAAGCACAGGAGAGGATGAGACCGTCGCTGACCTAATCAGCTTAGAGTCTGTAGGGGCAGAGATGCTAAGAAACACCAAACACTTTGGGGGCCCGGAGGCCACGTGCACGCTCCTATGGTCATTCCCTGGTGAGGAGCCTCTGCTGCTGTGCACCAGGATGGAGGAGGCAAGAGTGCGCCCCGCCTACCCTCGGGAGTTCACACTTCTGCTAGAGGGAAGTTTTCTGTGTGAAAGTACATGTGCACTAGGAGAACCAGGTGGCACCTGGAGGTCCAGGTGGGCACACCACGAGCGGTGGGCTCGTTAGCCACCGTTCTAAATTGACGCTAGTCCCGGAGAAGATGTTGGAGCCAGCTGTGCTTAGCAGGAAGGTGGAAAACTTGAAGGGGTTTCGGAGAACTCTTGTGGAAGTCCCAGAGGCCCAGCTCGTGATTTCTGAGTCTTGTGAGCAGCAGGTGGCAGCTGAAACCTCCCACCTGACACCACCCTCCTGAAGAGGAGTTCGGGCCACAGCAG